ATAGCGATAAGGCACCCATTTAGGAGGATACAGCGCCAACAGCATTGCTCTGATGGACGTGAAAGGCGTCTCGAGGACAAGGGCGCCGGGTTTTAGAGACGATGGACACTTTTCCCAAGCAGCGAGGTTCGTCGCGACTCCAGACCCGATGCTCTGACCCCAGAAGATAATGAGTGGCTTTGGCGCATCCTCTCCATAAGCCTCTGCATGGATCTGGCCGACAAATCGAAGTGCGGCTTGTGCGTCAAGGTTGATGCCCTTCTCGGACGGGCGCCCACGCGATGTCCAGTATCCTCTGTAACTCAAACACACCATTGTGTAATGTGCCGGCTGGCTCGACCGTTGCAGTGCCCTCAAAACCCAGGACAGATCCTGCAGCCTAGGTGGTAGAGATGACGCATTCCCTGCGGTAGGTCAGCACTTGCTAGCCATTGCGGGTGGAGTGGGACAAACCCTGAAAGTAGAGGATGTAAACTGGAGTTGCAAGGCCGCGCCCAGCAGCGAGTGATGATGCGCCAGCTTTTGAGCCATCGCACGCTACGTCCGTCATGCAAACGGCCAGATCTGTACCATCAGCAGCTCGTATCCTGCGCGCCTGCCATGATATGTCTCCGCATTGTCGGGCGTAGTCCTCAATGCGCTCGCGACGTGCGTTCGGCGGCAGACCCGGCATGTATATGATCTTGTTCTGGAACACCACCATCATCATGCATTTCCATATCCAGAGAGAGCCCAAAAGCCCGACGAACATGAGTGGCGGGAGCCAGAAGACTTGTGTTTGTAGGTGTCGTTTGGCAGTCCGGGGCAGAATAGTACAGCGCGCTGGTGATGAAACAGCGCGAGGCGTGACGAATCGCAGGGAGGAGAAGCCTGTACGGCTTGAGACTCTGAAGGCGTTCGGATGGCAAGCAGAAGCGCGCACTGCCTTCAGTGCCATCATTGCCATTGTTTCCCCTCAGTATTGCTTGCGCTGTTGGCCGACATCGGTCCGGGTCGTTCGACGAAGGTCCGTGATGTTGAGGGTTCGCTCGGAAGGGCAGTCGTTCAGAATAGCGACATCGTGGATAGATGGACTCGGTAATCAACGTTTCGAGTAAGCGTTGCGAGCAACATTGTTGTGAGCTTGCGATGGTTTCGTTCAATAGAACACGCTGAACGTCGAGCTCCGATCCCGACCTTGGGTGCCCCACTAAAGTGCCTGTGCCGCTGCTGTCGGCTTCCACCATTTGAGTATAGACTGACAACCACCATTGCTGGAAGGACTTGAGCCGAACAAAAGGTCGCACGTGTCTTCATCTTCTGTCAGGAAAGCTGATGCTAACAATTGTCGCAAATACACTACAATCATCAAACAACCAGGTTCTCAATAAAATTTGTCATCTCACGACTCAAAATGGGCTCCGCACAACAAAATGACCCGGTCATCATCGGCTTCCCTCCAGCATCTGATGCTGAACGACTCGACTTCGTCAACGGCCTTGTTGACGTTGTCAACAAGGCATATGCCGAGACCGAAAGGGAAATGTTCGTGACGGGCTACCAACGAACAACCCCGACTGAGGTTGCAGATCTCATCCGCACCGGCCAACTCGTTACCGCGACTCGGGATCCAACAGGCGAACCCGTAGGATGTGTGTCGTTGAAGGCCATGTCACCAACACGGAGTGCATTCGGCATGTTGGCGTTAGGGGCGACCTACCAAGGTTCGGGCTTAGGGAGAAAGCTCATCCAGTTCGTCGAAGAACATAGCCGAGTCCAAGGATGCGAAGTCATGCAGCTTGAGCTTCTCGTGCCGACGACATGGGAGCACCCTTTCAAGACAAGAATGAACGCCTGGTACTCAAAACTGGGCTATCAACTGGTCAAGGTGGGACAGTTCGACAAGGATTACCCAGCTCTGGCCCCGTTGCTCTCAGGCCCTGCCGACTACAGGATATCCGAGAAGTCGTTGGTATGAAAGACTTCCAATGTGTAATGGTTCAGAAGCGCAACCCGGGCCTCAACTCGCAATCAAGCATCTGTAGTCCCAACAGCAATCGCCTCCACATCACGGGCTCTCCGTATCACTCGGTCGATGTTGGTACACTTTCTGTGCTATAGTGACTGTCGTTCCTGGTAAAACCCCGTCCGCTCATTGCTGTACCTTTATATAGGGCATGTTGAGCTCACGCTGAGAACAAGGATAACTTGGAGCGACGGACCCAAATGGCCTTCAAATGTGGCGCCTGTCAGTTTCTCTTTCAAGTCAGGTTGCTGGGCACTGCGCTAGCTGATGTGTCTCCAAATATAGAGACGTAGGGCTTGAGCATGTTCTACGAAGCCTCAATCTAATTTTGCTTGGCAAGAGGCAGTATCGGCTCGGTGCCCACGTTATGGTGTTTTGAGCACTACATGAGGTAATGTAGAGAATTGACCTCATCAGAGTGGATGACAGCGTAGTTGAATCCCATGCTTCCAGTTTCTCACGGCTATCCATCAGCCTTGACAGCGGCTTTGGCCTTACATCGGTCTTTTGTTTTCCTCTGCCTGTTCCATGGCCGCCAAAACTCACCAAGCCTGGACTGAAAGTCCATATCGCGGCTTGTGCCATCTAAGATCATTCTAGCCTAGTTACGGCCATCGACGAAATCGGCGACGAAGGGCCCCAGCTGGTGCAGTTCGTTTCTGTGAGAGTCTCCTCCCAATGGCAGAATCCGGCATCGTATTCAGTATAGACTATACCATCACAATGAATAGGGAAAGGGGCCGTGACGAAGGAAGAGGCTAGAGTTGCTGTGGTGGGGGCACGCCAAGTAGCGCCTGGAATGCGCTGGATAGTAGCACCGTCATCACAGAGGGGTCGATTGTCGGGCCCAGCCATTGGGCCTACCACGCAGAGCGCGCCCCGCCAGACACACATGCCACTTCTGGTACCGGATTACCTGATCAATCCATCGACAATCGCCTTTCTCCTCTACCTAGGTACTCAAAACAAATCACATCACCCGTCCGTCCACCCCGTTGCCCCATTTCCACTTGGCCGTGGCCTCAACTTGCCAGGTCTACGTTTTCAGCATATTTCATTTGCATCACGTACCAACGCGAGCGAAAATATCCACTCCGTGCCATTCAAACCCTCGGCAACCCCTCGCCGCCGTCAACCCCGCCTTTCAGTGCCATGGCAGGCTCCGAGGAAACCGAGAGGCCAACCTCACCACACATTGCGCTCCCTGATGAGGGCACCACATCACCCAAGGCCGACGGTCAGTCGAGTCCCGGCATCAGGAATAGCAAGGGCTGGGACGGCAAGCTGCGTGTCGAGCGCACCGCCACGCTCGCGAATCCGGAGATTCTCGAATCAGAGCCTGAGTCTGACGACGAGAATGTTTTGCCTGGCGAGGAGCTGCCCGCAGACGAAGGTACAAAATGAGCCTCCCCCTCTTCCCGCGCGCCCCGAAACTGTGATAAACTGAGAACACATTGCTGACACGGGCTTTCCGCCTCTCCAGATCTCCTAGACGGAGAGGACCCGGACATTGACGAGATAATCGTCTCTCACTCGCGCGTGGGCTCCATCCCCGCCCTCCGCCTCGAGCGCTTCCAAAAGGTGATACGCCTCTGCCTGCGCCAGAACAGCATCCAGAGCATCGACGGCCTCGCGGCGCTCGCCCCGACGCTGCAGGACCTCGACCTCTACGACAACCTCATCAGCCACATCCGCGGCCTCGACGAGCTCACGCACCTGACGAGCCTCGACCTCAGTTTCAACAAGATCAAGCACATCAAGAACATCAGCCATCTGACCAAGCTCAAGGAGGTCTTCTTCGTCGCCAACAAGATCAGCAAGATCGAGGGCCTCGACACCCTGACGGGCCTGACGAGCCTCGAGCTGGGCTCCAACCGCATCCGCACCCTCGAGAACCTCGACGCGCTGCAGAACCTGGAGGAGCTCTGGGTCGCCAAGAACAAGATCACCGCCCTCGACGGCCTCGCCGCCCTGCCCAAGCTCCGCCTCCTGAGCATCCAGTCGAACCGCATCCGCGACCTGAGCCCCCTCGCCGACGTCCCGGGCCTCGAGGAGCTCTACATCTCCCACAACGCCCTGACCTCCCTCGACGGCCTCGCCGCCAACAAGGCCCTCCGCGTGCTCGACATCTCCAACAACGCCGTCGCCTCGGTCCAGGGCCTCGCGCCCCTGGCCGCCCTCGAGGAGTTCTGGGCCAGCTACAACCAGATTGCCGACTTTAACGAGGTCGAGCGCGAGCTGCGCGACAAGGCGGCGCTGACGACCGTCTACTTTGAGGGCAACCCGCTCCAGCTAAGGGGCCCTGCCGTGTACAGGAACAAGGTCCGCTTGGCGCTGCCGCAATTATCGCAGATAGATGCCAGTGAGTTCAGCGCCGCCCGAAACACCCAACCCCCGCCGTGCAAGATGGTGTAACTGACCTGCCTGCCTTTGCAGCTTTTGTTAAGACTTGATGCATGAAGAAAAGAAACATTTGAGTTGACGTACAAGAAAGTAATGGAAACGATACCTCGAGCATTGGGCAAGGCGTTTAGGAAGGTGTAATAAATGGGCATAGTTCGCAGAGAGGCGACTTCCCGACCGAGGTCGCTGCAAGTGTGTCTCGTTGCAACGTTGGCGAATACCACGTCATGATCACATGCATGGGAATGTAGGAAGGGATATGCAGGACGGAGGAGCTAGCTCCGATGAACCATGATTAAAGTTTCATAAGACCTTGCATTCGATGTGGCAGATCACAGTCATGCCTCTCTAGAAACAACTAGCAACAGCGCAGCGGATTTTCTATGCCCCCCTGTTTCTGCGTTCTTTTTGCAAGAGATGACCGCCGCCGGCGGTCCCGTGAGCAACAGAACCGGAGGCCCGGCTCAGCCGGCAGGGCCTCATTGGACCGGTTCCCATAGCCGGGTAAAAGGTTGTAAGTCGTTAAGTGGGTAGGAGTAAGTATAGTCGGAGAGGAGGGGGTTGGTTAGGATACGTGACTGGACATTGGCATTTAGGCGAAGATCCAAAGCTTCTCGGTGGGGAAGTAGTTGGCGGGCTGGTTGAAGCGGGTGTTGATATCGAGGGCGGAGATCTTCTCAATGTCCTCTTCAGAGATGTCGAAGCCGGTGACGTCGAGGTTCTGGGCGAGGATCTCGGCGCGGTTCGTCTTGGGGATGACGGACAGGCCACGCTGGGTAGACCAGCGCAGGAGGATCTGAGAGGGAGCCTTGCCGTACTTGTCGGCAAGGGAAGTGATGAGCTGGTGCTTGAGGAGGGGCTCGAGCTTCTTGGCATGAGGGAAGTCGAACTCGGCGAAGGAGGCGGGGCCGAAAGAGGAGTAGGCGGTCACGGCGATGCCCTCGTTCTGCGCAAGACGGACGAGGTCACGCTGGACGAGGTAGGGGTGGTGCTCGATCTGGAGGGTGGCAGGCCTGATCTTGGCAGTGCGCAGAAGGTCGTAGACGAGCTGGCCCTGGAAGTTGGAGATACCGATTGAACGAGCAATGCCCTTTTCGACGAGAGACTCCATGGCGGTCCAAGTCTCGGCGATGGAGGCGTTGGAGGTGCGGATCTCCGACTTGCCATCGAAGTGCCAGCCGGGAGGGTAGCGGACCTCGGGGTCAACCCAGGCGAGGGCAACGGGGAAGTGGATGACATAGAGGTCGAAGTAGTCGATACCAAGGTCGGCAAGCTGCTTGCGGGCGATAGGCTCAACCTTGTCGCCGTCGTGGAAGGTGTTCCAGAGCTTAGAGACGAGGAAGAGCTCCTCACGCTTGACGAGACCGTCCTTGATGGCGCGGGCGACACCCTGGCCAACCTCGACCTCGTTGCCGTAGTCTAGACATGTCAGCTTCTTGTTTGTCGGTATGTGATGTGAAATTTAGAGCAAGGTGAAAAACATTGGTGAAGCCCCAAAAATGACGATTCGTGATGTCGCCCCAGATGACGCTGCTGAGCCTATGTGAGGGGCACCAGGTAACGAGGGGCAGTACAAGTGGGGGCGACAGGGGGCGCCGTCACAGCCAAGACTGACAGACACAGGGGGGTCGCGGCGGTACAGCGGTGCAGTGCACGACGTAGTAGGGGGTGCATGGTGGGGTAAAAGGAGGGGTAAATTCGACCGAAAAAGTCGCGAGCGGAAGGTGGGATGCAGCTTTGACGGATCATGACGGTCGCAGCCAGAGCTCCCAACCCGAGCCATTGACGTTCTGTCTGGCCATGCAGCGCACAGCAGGATTCTCTGGGGCGCCGTCACGACGTTCCGCTGTGCTTGTGTTCCCTTCTCCCTCGCCACACCATGCAGAGGAGCTGTGGGCTGTGGAGGGATCGCGAGGACGTACCGGCAGCGCCGTCGAAAAGACGGTATCCAGCCTTGATGGCATTGTAGACGGTGTCGGCGGCAATGGCGTTGTCGACCTTCCACAGGCCGAATCCGACCTGGGGCATGTCGAAGCCCGAGTTCAGCTTAACGTTGGGAATGTTGACCATTTTGACAGTGTTTCTGCGAAGACGAGACGAAGGGGTAGGAGAGGTAGTGGTTGGTCGTAGGAGTTTGTTGTTGGTCTTTCTGTCGAAAGAAGGGGGGGTATCACAGGTGGTAGAGAGGATGAGAAGAGAGGAAGAGGAAGAGCAGGAGGGAGGGATTCAGACGGACCGACGGGATGGAGCAGATGAGTAAGTAGATATTTATAATTGACCTCTTCTCAAATCAAGTCCTGCCTTCCTCCTTCTATAGCCTGGCGTGAAGCAGGTCATCATTCCCTTTTTTTCCCCCTTTCCCCTCCATCGCGCCCGCTTGCTTGCCTGCACGCCCCCCCTTCCAACCCAACGGGCTTGTCTTTTGTCCCGGTTGCCCCTCATCCCTCACTGCCGCCGCGGGCATTGCTGGGCACGCCCACCGCGACAGGCCCGGTGACGATGGTGGGATGCGCGAGACGGGCTGCGCGCGCAGGAGAGATGACGGCACCTGGTCCATGTGCTAGTGTATAATGTCCCTAGTCCGTGGCCTCCCGTCCCTTTTTGCCAGGCGACAATGTCACTGATTGGCATGGCTAATACTGGTAAAGGCCAGAGCCGGGCCAATGTGGGACGGGGAAAGAGGGGGAGTCCCCATTCGCGCGTTTAACCCGTCGGGGGGCACATCCAAGCTTGTGATGGTTGCCCTTCTTCATTTTTTTTTTGAGCGGCCCCATCTCGTCCCTGGTGTACATGTACACAGGTATGGAACTCTGGCGCAGAACCACAGCAGCCCCCCCTGGCAAAAGCACCTAGACTAAAACGTAGCTTCCGCCCTGTTGTCCCGGCCAAGGCGGACCGTTCTGGGAGCCGGAACTCGGCGCAATTGGCTTGATTCCCAGCCAGGCATGAGAGACGCGAGCTGCAGCCCTCTCACGTCGGATCAAATGTGTACCTTTGTACATCACTTGACAGCATCGGCACGTGGACGGCGGCTTTGGCCATTGTTGACTGGACGGACTTCTGCGCTGGAGGATGCCCCTAAAAAACAGGTCACGTCTCTGAGGAGAGGCGGCAACATGGAGGGTTCACCTCGCCCCTTCTTTGGGCGAACTGCCGTGCCAGGTTCTGATAATAAAAGGCGAGTCCCTCGACGATCATGAAAATACAGTTTGGTTGCTTCGGCCCATGGGTCAAGTCAGCTGTATCACGACAGCCCCTTCCGGCACTGTCAAGTCGCTCCGAATCTGGGCCAGCCAGTCATGGCGACACCCGAGCTGGCCGCCACGTCCGGAGAGTCGCCGGGAAATCTCAGGTATCCACAGGGTTGGTTGCCTTGCCTCGCGGATTATCGTCGCAAGACGGCCTGGTGCCTGGCTCTATAGCCTACGGGACGTGAAGTGGGCGAGAAATGGCTGTAGGTAAGCTTGGTAAGGCAACGCCAGCACTGGCCATTCCCTAGCTGTGGGCCCTGAAATCTGGCAAAAGTTGGGGGCAATGGGGGGCTCTCCAGCGCTGGGATCCTCTTCGGTCAGTGGGGGGAAGAGCCAGCGAGTGAGTGGGCGAGTGGGCGAACGGGCGAGTGGGCGCAGGTGAGGTAGCGTCGAGTCGTTATGGGGCCCTTTCCATTTAGCCTAAATGCTGTTTGGCGCGGCTAATCCGATGCGCTCCGAATCCATCTCGCAGTTTCCTCGCAGATTTCCCGGATGTCACCATCGTGCTCACCATCCCTGTGTGCCTGACTGCCCGCAGGACCCGCCCAGCTGGCTTCGGTGTGTCCTGCCCGCCTGACCTTGACTCGACATCACAACAACCGTTTGGAGCCATACTCCCACCCTCTTGATGCCTCCTCAGGGCTTCAGCCCAATTGGCGACTGCACTTTCTCTGCGGGTGGTCAAAGCCTCGAGGTTCTTCCTGCCTTGGAATGCGTAGCTCTTTGTCACTGGCCATCGCCTTCCACACGCCTTTGTCTCCCATGCTCTCAAGAACCGCCTATGTGGATGAACCATATTGCACACCACGGGAGCGGGAGCGTCACAGCCTTGTCAACTACTCGCGGATCGGCCAGCGTCAGGATAATGGAACCCTCTTCCGGAGTAGCATGCTCGCCGCAGTCATGTCTTGTATCTATGGCCGAGAAAGAATCCGTTCCTGCCTTTGTTCCAAATTCGCACATCCTTTTTTCTTTCCATTATGCGATTTACTATCCAGCAAAGGAATGTTGATTATCGTCCTCACTATCGTCGTCATGCTCTTCCTCGTGATGCTCACTCTCACATAAAGGTCGCACGTCCTCTTCCTCCTGCGGGATGACACCGATCATGTCTCGCCAAAAACACTGCAGCCAGACTGTTGTGATTCGAAGAAATACTCCCATCATCTACCATGGCTACCAACTATGGCCGAGCCCCAGGCCACCTCAAGCGGGATGAATCAGTCTACGCTGACGAGGATGATCCCACAGGCCTGGTCAGGCGGAACCTCGAGTGCGGAGATGCTGCTCGATATAGAGGGCAGGCAACGCGACCCATGAACGCAGATGGCATGTCGGCGCCACGAAGGCCCAACAGCAAGTTTCCATCCCTCATCGCAGGCCAGGGAAGGCCCATAGATCAACTGGTCGAAGCTTTACAGGAGCCTGATCTGGCCGCTGTCAGGGACAGGAAGCGCAAACGTGACGAGGAGAAGGGCGCCAATGTCGGCATGGGTATCACCCTGGAGAAGCTGTTCGGTGTCAGCGGACGTGGCATCGCGGGTCTTGTCAACGTGCCGGTCGTCAATGGAGGCCAGCCCTACCAGTCCGTTTGCAAAGTAGACAGGAGGAACATCAATGACGTTGAAAAGGAAGAAGGTCTTCTACAGGTAAGAATTACACAGCTGACCTCATGGAGAGCCTCGGGATTGATGGATTGGAAATTAGGACTTCGAGGGCTGCAAGCACATTGTGCAGTATGACCGTAATACGCGGTACTTCAAGAACCTCCGTCTCTCCAAAAAGGGAGCCAGCCGCAAACCACCTTCGCATTACAAGGACAGACTCAATATCGGAGCGGATTGGAAGCGAAACTTTGTCCTGATGGAGTATGCTGAGCTGGGGAATCTGCTCACTTGGCTTCAGAGGACCAGTGCTCATGCTGCCGATCCCAATTCTAAGCTCGGCCCATGGCCGAACAAGGCGCTGTGGCACCTTCTCGAGTGTCGTATGTCTGATACTCTTGGTTTTGATAGTATTATCATGTTCTGACCTTCTTTTGTAGTAACGCGGGGCTTGATTGGCATGGCGTACGCTCCTCACGGCAAAGCTGGTGATCAGCCTGGCAAGCCTGGCAGGGTGACTGATGAGACTGTGCCTCCATCTCCAGCGCCCGAGGTACGGCAAAGAACGCACTTTGACCTCGATCCTAATAATGGTTAGCCTGCTGTCGTCCTCCAATCTCCATGTTCGCATGCTGAGTCTCGCTAGTATTCGTAAACCACATGGGCCGAGGCCACAAAGGCAGGCCTACGTTCAAAGTCAGTCTCACATTGTTTTCGCCTTCGAAAGCCTTTGCTGACTGTTCCTAGATTGGTGATTTCGGCCTCATGCAGGACTTCAGTCTCCTCCAGGAGAACCCCAACGCCTTTTCGTAAGTCTTCTAGGCCCCTTTTCTGGCCATTTCTCCTGCCACGGCACACTTACACGACTCACAATAGCGAGAGAAAGTTCTGGCAGTTAAGGAGTGCTGGCAAATCTGGTCACTTCGTACCGGTAAGACCATGAGTATCACTGAGCCACGATCGGGAAGAATACTTATATTTTGCAGGAGCAATTTTGTCAGAGTGGGACGAGTCAGTAGCTTCATGGGTTTCACACAACGGGAACAAGAATCGGTTCATCGGCCAGGGAGAGCTTAATGCCTCCTGTCGCCGGCAACTACGGCATGGCAAGCAACGTCTTCCAGGTTGGCATCATCGTGAGTGATCCCCCCAAAAGCCGCATGGTGCAGCACTGACAGGTGTCGTAGCTCTGGATGGCCATCACCCTACACGCTGCTCCAGGTACGAGAGCCTTCAGAACGCCACTGGAAGCCGGCGTGGGCGTCATGGTCGACAGCACTTACATGCGCTCAAACGGGCAGAGTCTCCGCACGTACGGTGGGGCTCTCGAGGACGAGAGGTTCAACCACGTAGAGGGAACACTGCGAGAGCTCGTTATCCGGTGCATGGCCCACAGCCCGGCTGACCGCCCTGACCTCTCCGAGCTCATCGAAGTCATTGATGACCGTCTCCAATCACCATTCACTATCGACGGCGACGAGCTAGACCAGTGGTACCAGGACCTGTTTGGGCGCCCACCCCCGCAGGCTGAAGGCAAGGATGAGGAGGGTAATCCTATCGGGTTCAGCAACCAAATTTCCAACGAGAGAGCCTCACGCGCCAAGGCGGGGACGGGTGCCTCGAGCCCGTTAACGCAGAAGGAGCTTCAGACATTGCGGGATGCTCTGAGAGTCGCCAAGGCTGTGAAGCAAAGGGCAGCTGCTGGTTCGGTCTTTGGCGAGCTGATCAAGGTATTGCAGAAGGTACCGGGCGTCAATAAAGGGAAAGAAGCTGCCAAGAAAGCGGCAGATGGCATTGCCGGCGGCGAGGACAAGGGAGAGGAGGGCGACGGCGGTAACGAAACTGAAGATCCTCAGGGGCGCGGCCAGCTCGAACAACGCGCCGGCAAGCGTAAACGGCCACCTAGTATCTCACGGCGCGAGACCAGACAGCAAGCGAAACGCAGAATGGCGGCAGCCAGTTCCGCAGGGGCTGCGGTTGCATAACAGAAGACTTTAGTTGAGAGACGGGGTCACGAGCTGTCTGTATCCGAAGTTTGGCGTTGAATGGGTACCGCATTGCCTGGACAGAGTGTACTTCAAGGGAGCGACAAAGTTTTGTGAGGGTTTTTTTATGTTTTTGCCATTGTTTCCATATCTGTGAGACTACTGTATTTGTAGTACCTTAGAGCCCGGTAAACGAAACGTGTTAATTTGGAATCTTTCTCGAAGAGGGAATGTACTGTGCTGCGTACATGCTGTACGGGCCGAAAACAGACGTGCCTGGAATCGATCAGGGATGAAGCAGCTTACGAATGCATTCATCACACAGCTACGAAGTCCCAGGCTTCCACCAATTCCGCCTATTCCACCTATTACGTACTCATCTTGACTAGCAACAGGATATCATGGACATCAGAACAGCTATGAGCATCAATCCGTCCTGAAAGGGTTCGAGACAACGTGACGTTATTGATACATAGCTTTGGGACCATGGCATCTTGCAGGTCTTCTGAGCGCGGATCGTAAACGTGAGCATGGGTGCTGATGCGAATTTGGCATAGTACACTCATTCTGTCCATCAAAGGTACTCGGCAGCTTGGCTGGCCCATGATCCCAGCTGCTCAACGAGCCCTGCACCTAATCTGAGCAACTCCACGAGACGATGTCCGGTGTCTGATCCTACATGACGTCACATTCCGGACAACGGAAGAACGGCCGGAGGTTAGTGACGAGACAAACATAACATCGATTCGCAACGCATCTTTTCAAAGTAGACAGCTTGACTTTTGCATGTGAGTTTGACCGACCTCGAGGCCGTGAGACCGCGTCGCAAAGTGTTGTGATTCTCGGTGAGCCATCATCTATCTACCCGCGCTTCGAGCTTCTTCCAAGCGCTGTCCACGAGCGACGCTGCTGGCACCACACCAACTGCGCAAACCGCGACGGAATCGATTTGCAACAGATGAGAATATTTGCTATTCACGAAAACAAATAATACACCGGCTACATGGACGGAAACGACCTCCCGGAGCCACCTGTGCCCATCAGAACAACGACGACCCAGCGAGAGCGCCGCACCGCTATTCGTCCGCCCAAGAGTCTCTGCGAGCGTTTTCTACACGCCCTTCCCTATTATACAGGTCCCCATGCCGTCGGATACCTCGAGATTGAGACTCCAGTTCGTCAGCCACGGGTCATCTCTCAGCTGACGCGGGGGAAGGAGCCGCTCCTGCGATTGGACACAGTGCTGTTCTCCGTCTTTTACCCATGCGAGCCACGAGACGATGACAAGAACAAGAGCGATGGCACCGAAAGAAAGACTAGTGAACATGGCAAAGATGTACAACATGGTAAGCGTCCCAAGAGAACGCTGCGCAAAAGTCTCTCTCGCGCCAGTTGGCTGCCAAGGCCCCGGATCCAGACAGCAAAGGGTTACGCCAAGTTCATGAACATCCCTCGCGCTCCGGTGACAAGTTATCTGGCTATAACAAGCATGTTCACCAAACTTCCCGCCTTTCGGAACGCCAGTCTCGCGACGCAGTGGCCGCGGGATGTGATGGCTACTGATGGGGTCTCGCCTGGCAGACGGGAGAAACCGAGATTCCCGATCATCATCTTCAGCCACGGACTGGGTGGGTCGAGAACTATATACAGTTCCATCCGCGGTGAACTGGCGAGCTACGGGTTCATGGTGATCGCTGTAGAACATCGGGACGGCAGTGGCGCCAGGACATATGTCAACCTGCCGGCTGAGCAAGAATTGTCTGAAACCGAATCAGAGGCAAATCTCAATGTATCCGACGTGAGTGGAGAGTCGCAGAAAAGCAAGAGCACAAAACAACAGTCGCAGCACTACTGTGTCGATTATCTCTTCCCCAAAGACAACGCGCAGGATACGTCACCTCACAACGCTCGCGGCGTCGATACGGAGCTGAGAACGGCGCAGATTGATATGAGGATGGCCGAGATGGAGGAAGCTTTTCATGTCATCAGCCTCATCAATGACGGAAAGGGCAGTGCCGTGTCCGCAACTAATTTGCGCCGCCAGGGCAACGTCGCGTCAAGCTCCCAAGGCCTTGGTGGTATCCGATGGGACGACTGGACAGGACGCATGTTAACAAACAACGTGACTGTCATGGGCCACTCGTTCGGCGGTGCGACAACAGTACAGTGTCTCCGGAAATCCTCCTTAACGTGGGTTGGACAAGGGATCATTCTTGATGCGTGGGGTCCAGCAACACCGGCGGCTGGGGAGGCCCGGATCAGCAAGCCGCTTCTGTCTATCGGATCAGAGGCCTTTATGCACTGGCAAGAAAACTTTGAGCGGCTGGTGGACCTGTGCCACGAGGCGCGCGAGGAGAATCCGGCGACGTTGACGTGGATGCTCACGATCCGAGGCTCGACTCACCTGTCTCAGACAGACTTTGCTGTGCTTTATTCGACGTGGATGGACCTGCTCGCGAAGACCGTGGTCAACCCGCTGCGGGCAATATATCTGACGGTGGCGCCGTCGCTCGAGTTTCTGAAGATGACGCTGCCTAGGGAGCAGTCAGCCAATGATATGTGGGTGGACGAACAGATCCTGAGGACAATGCAAGCGCCGGCGGACCCCGAGGCTGCAATGGGACGAGAGCATCGTCCGTCAGACAAATGGATTGCAGTGCGGCTAAAGGTTGACAATGAAGTGTCGTGGCGGGCGCGTGGCTGGTTCCGGCAAAAGAGGCGGGCACTGTGGCGTGAGAGAAGCGACGAAGAGCCCGAGGGCCTAGTGGACTGGGACCGTGGAGATGAAGTTTGGATGCACTTCAGTCCAGGAGAAGAGGTTGTGAGACGGTATGTCAAGTAGGCGCTACTGCATCATGACCTCGCTGCAGCATGGTTTGGAGTTTCAGTGATACCAAATAGCAACTGACTTTTTTCCCTCCCACTCTCGCTCCCCATTCCGTCATTCGTTAAAATTGCTTCTCCAGCTGCGGTTCTTGTACAAAATGGTGAATAGGAAAATGTTTCGGCTGAGAGTGACCTGTAGGAGCGAAGCATCCGAGACACACACGGAGGATCGTCAGTGTGGTCCTGTGGCCGTGCGGCCCAGGCGTTACAGAGCGACAAGAACGGACGGGCGTTGACAAATGCAGGGCGGTCTCAGGGGACTCGCCGTTCTAGAGCCTGGTGTTTGGTGTTTGGTGTTTGAGGCGTAGGCCAGCTTGGCCAGCAAGCCAGCTATCCAGTTGGGGGTAAGCTAGCTCGGGTAGGATGGATCTTTGTTGATCGAGCCCAGGCTGGTAGCGCGATGTTAGCTACTAGGTTCAGAATTGGGCGCCACCTGGAGCCTACGGGAGCTCCGTGGGATGTGGGCCAGACTCGATCCGACCAAGGCCAAGCGTGGTCCTCTTCGTCAATGGAAAGTCCATGAGAGGCGAAGTGATTGACGAGCCGCAAACGCAAAACAATAACTCTCTACCTCTGCCCATGGTGGAAACAATGATGGCGAGAAAATATGGAATCCGAGAGGGGCAGAGCAGAAATCGGCTACCTCTGCTTCCAAAAAAAAAAAAAAAAAAACTCCCTCCTGCTGGTACCTCTTGCTGGTGGTACCTTGGCCCCTGACGGACCAGTGTATGAGTGCAGGTGCAGGTGCAGGTGACGTGCACCTGCGTCCGCAAATGCATCACGCCTTCCAGCGAAAACGAGGAAAGCTGAGAAGGGGGCAGGCGCAGACAAAAATAGACGATGCATCGTGTTAGCAGGCAGGCGACGCCGACGCTGACAGGCCCTCGCGCCGATCCTGGGGCGCTCATACCTACCTACTGTACCATGTATGTACTAACAGTGGGGTCAGGTATAGCTGCAGATCTGGCGGCTGTTTCCCACCTCCCACCTCGTATCCGAACAGACCACGATGGAGTAAGAACATCTTTTTTGCTGCAGCTGCTGGGTCATCCTGGTCACCGTCAGCTGCGTTGGGTCAACAAACCTGACTGCAAGGAAACGCGACCGCCCTCTCACGCCCCAAGCTCCAAGCTCGAGGTGCTCCTTCCCCACTAACGATTGCTTCAGGGCAATGGAGCAACGGAGTACAACCTGACAGCAGGTGCCTGTCTTGCTGTCCAGCGTGCTTTCTTGTTTGGTGTCTGGTCCGACTTGCAGATTCCGGCAAAAGTGAACACGAAAACGAAAAATAAATGAAATAAATATTCAGCTTCACACCTGCATGCTTCTCCACCACAGTCGCCAAGTTTGTAGGCAGGCCCTGACTACCCAGGTATACCAAGATTGACGAACAACACATTGCCGCCGCCACTGCAAGGTCGCAGTGGCTGCTGCCGGCAGCCGTTCAGGAATTGTTTCCCGTCAACCCCCCGCTCACCCCCCTCATTGGCGATTCACGACCCTGTCAGCGACCAGTCAAAGGTTTGAACCTTGGGGGGGGGGGCCAACAGACGACAGTCTGATGTTTTCTCTCGGACTGATGCACGACCACGCGAACAGACCACTAATCCTAGATCAGTCCCCTGATCCGCTTTCTTTACACCCACCATCTCCCTTTACGACCCCGACAACCTGGCTCTGGCTAGCTTGTTACTTTTTAGCCTCCCTCGCCTCGCTTCAGACTTGAACCGACCAGGACAAGCCAGCCGGATTGATCTAGGTGCGCCCCTCTCTTTCGGATTGTCCTGACATGGCCTCGCCTTGGCCCGCCTCTTAGCGGCCTCTCTTGGTAGCTTCTCTTTCCACGCTTCTGCCGGAGTACTTGTACTTACCGGGACAGATGGTCGTGAACTTACTTACTTGCACCGTCGTCACATCCCGTTGCTCTACCATCCCTTCTCTCTCCCTCTTTGTCGCCCTTTTATGCAACCCGTCGCGCCAGACCTCGTGTCACAAGCATCGTTACTCTCGCTTTTATATTCTTCTTCTTTCCAGTCCATTCCACGGCACAAGAGTTTAGTAATACCCAGCAGACAGGCCGATCGCTGGTTACCCCACCTCAACACCCAGACCTCGACCTCACTTCAACCATTATAGTCGCCAAAAGACACTTTCCGCGCATGCGAGGGCCAGAAGTAGTCACAGACATATCACACGTCGCATCCCCGCCGCCTCAACGACAAAAAGAATAGCCCGTCGATGATCGGGCTTGCGACAGCGTAGCCGCTTCTCTCCCGTTTCGCTGATATACCGCTTCCTTTTCTTTGTGTGCTCACTATTCTTCTTTGCTCGTCGGCAGGACCCACCGTGATATACATTCGCCAGGAACATTTGCCGACGCCAATTATACTGACAAAGGCCGGTCTCCCACCCCGGTCTTAAAACTCGCCATGGCCTCTGCCACTGCCCGCCGGGAGTCCGGGGAGTCCGCCGCCTCTGTCCATCCTTCGAGGTGCTCTAATATGGACAAGATGCTGGAGCTGGAGCGCAAGTGCAAGGTAACACCTCCTGCACTTCACCAATATCACCTCCGTCTAGCTAACATTGCATTCCCCTCGTAGATGGAACGGCTTCATCAGACACCGTTGATGAATCCTCTGTCGCAGAACCCTCCATCACCCTTTGAGCAATCTCACCAGCAACCGCTTCAGAAACGTCCTAGCACCATGCCTCAGCCTCCACGCGCTCCTTTGCAGGCCCGTCGAAGAGATTCGTCCGTCCCTCGCGACCTCCTCGCTATTGCTTCAAATTCTCAAACCAATGAGGTGATTGACTTGTCCATCACTGTTCCTCTGCCACCCACCCGCAACACGCCTCAGATCGAGCGAAAGGCTGAGCCACGGCCCCAGGCCAAGGCTGAACCTATACCCACAATCGAGGCGCCACTGACGCCCCTGAAGTCGTCTGGCAAGACTGTTACCTTTATGCCGGGTGAGAAGGATGAGGGGAAAGACGACGCCTCCTCCATCTGTCAGTCTCCCAGCTGGGAAGGCTATGGGCAGCGCAAGAAGGAAAAGAAGGTCGAGGCCAAGCAGCGACGCAAGGACGAGAAACAGGCTGAAAAGGACAATAAAGACGCCAAGAGGAAGTCCACCACACGCCTGACCAAAGCCCCTCCTACACCGAGCCACCCGCCCATCACCGAGAGATCTTACTCAAGTCCTGCCTTGACCACACAAAATCACACTCGTCGCTCCAGCTCCCAAGAACCAACGCCATCGCTGTCTGCTCGCCCTAAAAGTCGCAGGTCACGGTCTAGTTCTGTGACGTCTCAGCTCCGTCTTGCCCTAACCGGTAACTGGGGCAAGGAGAAAGAATCTGGTTTCGTCGGAGGTCTTAAGTTGGATCAAGAGAGGGAAGCCGCCGATCGTCCTGCTGATGGCCACAGCACACAGGCGGTTCAGAAGTCGTCACGCAGTTCGTCTCGTGACACCAGATTCAGCTCGAATTTACCCAAGGCCCACTCTTTTGGAACAGGATCGCGAGCCTCGAGCCAGACACGGCCCGGACTGCCCCGCCAGATGTCCGCTGATGGACAGTCAAATGTCCACCCACTCCTCCGCCGAAAGGGTGCTTCGCCTGTTTCCATACGTTCATCATCCCGGTCTGAGATTCTCATCTCGCCCACTGCACCACCGATGCCTGGACTGAAGACACTTGAGCAATGGAGGACCCGTCCCAAGCCCAAAGCGCCTGAACAGGAGCCCGTGACGCCCGAGGAGGCACTGAAGGCGTCCGCACAAGAACTCATCAAGGCCAAAGAAGAGGAAGCTGGGCTCGCTCTTGGCAGCCCTGATACAGATGAGCCGAGGCGAGGACGCCAATTTGCAAACTACGTCCGTCGTTCACGATGGCAGAGTTGGGACCGGGCGGGCTCTGTGGTAGTGGAAGAAGGTCGCACGTCAGCACGGTCCCATTACCCGCCTCAAGCGAATCGTCAACATCACAGCCGTGCATATTCGCTAGTTACGGACCGACGCTCAACAACCCCGGGTTCTTCTACCCCACGGACTAACCTCTCTGGCGAGCCTCGTACACCTGGAGACAGCACCCCTGAGGTAAACCGCCTCGGCGACCGCTCGACTTCGACCGACAGGTTGCCTTTCACCCCTTCACTGGGCCCTAATGGGTTTAAAAGTGCCATGCAGGCCGCTCTAGCCAAGGTCAGACCGACATCTAGACCACCTACCGCGGCGTACTTTGACCGCCCTCGCCGTGATGCCTCGACGCCCGATTCCAGAGCTACATCTCGAACCTCTAATCGCGACCGGCTGTCACACATGCCAAAAGCAGCCCGAGTCCTAGGCGAGTACAACGAAGAAACCATGAGGGGACATGATTCCGCGCGACCGTCGTCGGCATCTTCTTCTTTCTATGCCGATTCGATCCATTCGCCATCCTCGGTAACGACGCCGAGTTCTTCACGCCCCCAATCGCACAAGGGCTTTCCTGTTATGGTTGGCGAGGTTAGTCAGGGTGCGACGGGTCACTTTCTTGTGACCGATGATGAGAGAGCATGCCAGCAGTCGCAGCGTGGCACCATGACCTCGGCATCAAGCCCAATGACCCCGAAAAGTGTCCTTCCAGGGCTTAGTCAGGTGGTCCAAAAGGACAATGCGGGAGAGTCCGACCTGGAGCAATTCGTGCGTGAGAGTTGGGATAATATGTTGAAGCACGCAGAAAACGATGTCGAGTCATTCACGACTTGCCTGACACCACAAGAAGCAGACGAAACCAAATCTTCTTTGGTCTGCCCTCCTATGTCTGGCTCTGATAACCAGGCAGAGCCCAAAGAGGGGAGCATTCGTCCTGACACGGCTTCGAACACCCTCGCCCGTGCGCCGAGTCTGTCTAAGAGCCAGTCAAGCCCCAACGTCGCCAAAGCCGGACTGGGTTCTGACCCGGCCCCGGTACCACCTCCGCGATCCATCGCACGTACCAGTCCCACCGCGGGACACACTTCCTCCGTATCCCTGCCGGATGCACTGACAATGACATTTGGTCCGTATCGCACGACTGACCCTGCCGTGCCGCGCCCCTTGCGCAGCCCCCGCATGCCCGGCCCCCCCTTGGCAAAGATGCTCGTCGAATGCTGCCAGTGTCGGTTTTTCCACGACATGCCGAGCCGGGTGTACGAGTGCATGGCGCGCCCCGACGCCACTGCTGAAGATTCAGTTCTCGGCGTCAGCGGCTCAATCACGACGTCGGTCAACTGCCCCTGGTGCAAACACGGCATGACTACAGGATGTTGCAGGGGCTATGCGGCCGAGGTGTATCTCAAGCAGAGGCTGCACTAGGTGCAAGCCGCGCTGAAATAGGAAGGAACGGTACGAAAAGGAGTCCTGGCTGCGTTGCTCTAGATGATGGAGGGCGGGACCTTGCTTGGGCCTCTAGAGATGAGAAATGTGTTTGTTACGTGTACATGTACAAGGTCTTTGCTGCCTCGTAGAGATGATATAATCTTCAATTACAACCCTCACAGCT